GTTAAATGGAAAGCAATTTCAATCAAGAATACTATACTCAGCAAGATTATCCTTCATGTAGAAAGAAAAGATAAAAACATTCTCAGGTAAACAAAACCGGAAAGAATTTACCTACACCAGACCAGCTCTTCAACAGGTTCTAAAAAGAGTGCTTTACCAGGAAAACTAAAGACACTCAGATAGAAATAAGAGAGCAAAGAGCAACCAAGAAAATGCTAAGGACAAGTCTGGAAATATCAATAATAGCCTTGAATATTAACTTTATGATTTAAATGGAAAGACTGGACCACAGTAACCCTGCAAATTCAACAGAAGAGAGTTTAATTATATGAGGCTAAACTGGTGAAATAGAATTTTATGACTTTTGACTAAAACAGTACTGATTTTTTTTACTATGCTTTCCCCCTCACCCCCCAGATTTAAAGCTTTTGTTTTCTTTTGTGCTGTTGATAGGTTCAGCAATCTGTTAAAATTTTTTTTTTTGCTTAATTGTTTGTTTTTTAAAATTGAAACATAAACTTTTCTCCCTTTCTGACCCCTCTGGAATTGGAAGATATTCCAATTTTGTATTCTTATTTCGTGGCAGAAGGGTTATTTGCATAAGTTCAATAATACCTGTTGTCTTGCATCAGAAATTGTAAACACTCATTATTGCCAGGGCTTTGACAGGAATGTCATATAGGAAGATATGACTAGAAAACTATGGAACTAAGGTAGATCTCAAGAAAGCCAGCAGAAGCTCTGGGAAAGATTGGCACCATAAACAGTTCCGCCTGGCAGGGAGGATTAGAGAAGCCATGTGAAAGAATTTGCACCATAAAATAACTTGGACTTTTCCAGCCCAGAATTGTAATCAGTAGAGACTGCAAAAGAGCAGCCACAACCAGAGGATTACTTGAAGAAGACTTTGAAGGAAGAAAAAGAGACTTATCTTTGCTAGCAGATGGTATATCACAGAACGCTTGGTAGGCAGAACTGAGTTGGGAAGGTTCATGTGTGAATTGTGTTCAGGGTGTTTGCTTCTCAACAGTTTGAGTAGTTGACATGTAAATATTTTCTCAAAAATATTTAAAACCATACCGTCTTTGTTTTTATAGTCACAAACAAAATTATAACCAATAATTTGAAAGTTATCTTTAAAATATGTTTTTTGGACATTTTGAAAGTCATTTATTAATTGTCAAGAACTATGAAGTATGAGAAAACTATTTTAATATGTAAAGTAAATGTTTGTGGGAAAATGTAAAAACAAATAAATACAAAACAAAAGAAACACACAAAAATCAAACAATGTAGAATTTCATTAAAGCAAAAGGTAAAAATCTCCCCTCTCTCTCGTGTCTACTTTTACTCTTTTTTTTTCCTCTACTTTTACTCTTTAAATTTAGGCAGTGTGAACATTTTCATATATATCCTTCTAGTCTAGCCTTTCTTCTTTGCAAATATATTTATGCAAGTGCATGTGTAATTTTATTTTATTTTTTTCAAAATCACATTGTTCTGCTATCATCTTTTTTTCACTTATATTGTATTATGGACACTCTTAACATCAGAGTACATAGATCTACTAACTTTACTTGTTTTATAGGCTGCGTAATATGAAGACTCTTAAAAAAGTTTATGGAATATACATAGTGTGAAAGAATTATGCATGGGTTTCAAAGTTTTTTTGCTCTAAATAAATTTCAACTTTATTTCCATTCATTTCTTCGTATTCTATAATGTGGATATGCGATTATTTTCAATTTGGGTCCCATTTTAAAGAAGCAGAACCAAGAGGCTTTCTCCATTCACCTCTAATTTATCTTCTGAATGCCTGAGCCTATTCTTAGCAGACTTGGGCTGAGCTGAATTGGCTGCCAAAACTGTGTATGCCAGCGACCAATCTCTTTTTGGCTTTCCCATTTTCTCACTGCCCAGGATGCTGGCAGAAGGGTTATTTGCATAAGTTCAATAATACCTGTTGCCTTGCATCAGAAATTGTAAATACTCATTATTGCCAGGGCTTTGACAGGAATGTCATGTAGGAAGATATGACTAGAATTAGCATTTCCTAAGTCATGGCCTCAGTCAGTTGTCTTCACTCTGATCTCTACCCTTTGGAAGTCCCACTCTGTCACTCAGTCTTCCCCTCTCTCCATGTTGTTAATATCTAAGTAGCTTCGAGGCCTTGAAGTCTATGTAAGGGGAGTTCACCTCCTGCCTTTTCCCTAAAGTTTATTATTTATTTATTTTAGAGAGATTTTTGCTATAGGGTGTGTGCACTTGCCAGAGAGACAGAGATAGAGAGACAGAAAGTGAGAAATCACCCCCCAGGGAGGATGGTCACAACACAATTCCTTCTCCCATTCTCTTCTCGGGATCTTGGGCATGCAATCACATGCCCGGCATGATTTTTAAGCCACTGGGTCCGTGATTCAATCTGTGATTGACTATGTGGGAGTCCAGTGACATAACCATTACTCCATCTGCTGGTCTCCCCGAAGTTTATTTATTTATTTTTTCCATTAGGTCGAAGGAACTGGAGTAGATTAGAGATTGAAAACATCTTAAAAGATCAGCTAGTTGGGACTGGCAGGTGGCGTGGTGGTTACGGCGGCTGGACTCCTATATGTCTGACTGCTGTTTGAGTCCTGGACCTGGCAGCTTGCTTTCTCACTTTCCTTCTCTATCTCTGTCTCTCTCTGGTCAATTTCAAAAATAAAATAAAATAATGACAATAAATAAAAAAATTCTTTAAAAAAAATCAGCTAGTAAATATTTTAGGCTTTGCAGGTCACGTGCTCTCTGTTTTAATTACTCTACTCTGGTGTTGTAGCATGAAAGCATCCATATACAACATGTGAACAACTGAGTGTGGCTATGTTCCAATAAAACTTTATTTTCAAAAACAAGTAGCCTGCCTGCAAGCCATATTTTGCTGAGTCCTGAACTAGGTGATGTTTAACCTTTGATTCATTTCTAGAATTTCATGACTGTACAACTCTTTTAGGACTTACTAGTTCCTAATTGCACAGCTGATCTACATTACCCTATTTAGCACTTATTATCAGGTCACCTGGAAAATCATGATGTACTTTTCTGTTTTTCTATTCAAAAATGCATCATGACTTTCCTGGTAACCCAATGTATGTACTCTTATTTGTTTATTGCTTCGTGTGTATTAGTGTTGTCTTCCCAACAAGACAGTCAACAGTTAGGTGGTAGGAGTGGCCTTAAATTCTTGTACATCCTATAGAAGCCTAACACATCACTACATATGTATTAAGCACTACACAGACAAAAATACTAACAGCAACGATAAACGTAGCTATCATTGATGAGAAGTACAGTAATCTTTGAGAAGGGCTCATCCTGTGTGTTCTGTGTCTCTTGTCCCCAGCAATCACAGAGGTAATGAGGTGTGAACATGAGCGAGCTGTGCACCTCTTTGTCGACTCCCTGGTGAATCAGGACAAGCCAAGCTTTGCCTTCCAGTGCACCGACTCCAACCGCTTCAAAAAGGGGATCTGTCTTAGCTGCCGGAAGAACCGTTGTAATAGCATTGGTTATAATGCCAAGAAAATGAGGAACAAGAGGAACAGCAAAATGTACCTAAAAACCAGGGCAGGCATGCCTTTCAAAGGTAACCTTCAGTACTCCAAGTGCCCCTCAGGAAGACCCTTGTCTTTTTCCTCCTTTATTTTATTTTACAATTTCTTATTTACTTTCAATTGTTGTACATCTTTGTGGGGTATAATACAGATTTTTTAAAGCATGCATGCAATATGCAATAATTAAAGCAAGAATAATACCATATTCATCTTTTCTAGCAGGAATACTACATTATGATGTGTACCATTAACTTTTGCTCTATTAGCTTTTCTTTTTCTTTCTTCTTCTTCTCTCTCTCTTAAATATATATATATATGTATATATATATATATATATCCATTCCACCTGTCCCCCAATGCAAACTCTTGTATTTACAGTTGTCTTCTCTACTTTAATGACTTCAAATTTTTCAGGTTCTGCCATAGAGTGCAGACAGTCTGTATATGTTTAGTGAAGACATACAATGTCTCTCTTTCATAACCTCGGTTGCTTCACTCAGCAGTAAATCTTCCATATTAATCTTTTGTTTCAAATGATGATATCTCATTGCTTTTTAAAATTGATAGGATTTTTAAAAATAATTATTTTATTTAACTTTATTAATTTATTTATTTTAATTTGACCAGAGAGGGACAGAGAGAAAGAAAGAGAGAGAAAGTGAGAAAGCAAGCCGCCAGGTCTGGGACTTGAACTGTGGTTGGCCATGTGAGAGTCCAGTGTCTTTAACCACCACACCACCTGCTGACTCCTGCATAGTATTTTATTATGTATATGTGCCACATTTTCAAATCCAGCCATCAGTTAGATACTTAGGTTGATTCCATGTCTTAGCTATTGTGAATAATACTGCGGTAAACATAGATGTGCAAGTGTCTTTCCAGCTAGTGATTTTCTGTCCTTTGGGTACACACTCAGGAGTGGAAATACTGGGTCATATGGTAGTTCTATTTATAAGTTTTTGAAAAACCTCCATGTTGTTTTCCACAGTGACTGTATCAATTTCAATACCCACCAACAGTGTAGGAGAGTTACCTTTTCACTACAGCCTCACTAGCACTTATCATTTTTTTTAAATTTTATTTTCTCTTTTTGAGAGGTTTCTGCTACAGGGCGTGTGCACTTGCCAGAAAAACAGAGAGAGATAGAGAGATAGAAAGCGAGAAATCCCCCCCCCCACACACAAGGGGGATGGCCATACCGCAATCCCTTTTCCTCCATTCTCCTCTCAGGATCTTGGGCTCACATGCACACATGCCCAGTGTGAGTTTAAGCCACCAGGTTTGGGACTCAAACTGCAGTCAACTACATGGGAGTCCAGCGACATAGCCATTACGCCAACTGCTGGTCCCATCATTCTTTTTTTTTTATCACAGTCATTCTGACTGGGATTAGGTAGTTTTAATTTGCATTTCCCTTATAATAAGAGATGTTGAACATTTTTTCATACTACTTTTGGTCATTTGTATATCTTCCTTTTAAACTTGTCTGTTCAGCTTGTATGCCCATTTTAAAATTTCTTTCTTTAGTTTTTCATAGAGGTCTTTCATCTCTTTCATTAAATTTATTCCTAAATTGTGTTTTCTTTTTTTTTTGTAGCAGATATTATAAATGGGATTATTTTCTTCAATTCTGTTTCAGTCTGTTCACTATTAGTTTTCTTCTTAATAACATGATACAAGGGCTGGCAGGTGGCATGGTGGTTAAGGGCTCTAGGCTCCCACATGGCCAACTGTGGTTCAAGTCCTGGACCTGGCGGCTTGCTTTCTCACTTTCCTTCTCTCTCTCTGTCTCCCTTTGGTCAAATTAAAATAAAGTTAAATAAAATAACTCTCTTTTTTTATAAAAAAAAAAAAAAGAAATAGCATGATGCAGAACAAGGTAGATAATAGCCCAGGAGACACAACCAGCACAGTTAAGTCAAATCATTGCAAATCAGATTACATTGTGCATGTCCTAGGAAGGTTAATCTTTAAATTGTGGGGACTCCTTTTGTGTTTGAGTATTACTCTATGATTGCAATATCAGTATCTTAAATTTCTATTTGCATTTAACTTTTCAATGATATTTCTTCATTTAATCATCACAAAAAATCTGAAGTAGGACACATGGTATGATGTCTTGTGTTTTTATAACATTTTATAACATGTTATAAAATCAAAATATTTTGTAGGCATAATGGGGATTGTTTTTATGTATGAGGCAGTTAAGGCTCAGAGAAGTTAATACAGTGGTCCTTATTCAAGGATCACACAGCTAGAAACTAGCTAGGCCAAAAATGCTCAAAAGTTCTCTTAACCTCAAGTTCAGGGCTACTTTTTATACACTACAGTGTCCTTTTTATTTCTTCTCTAAAAAAATTTTTTTCCCCACAATGGGGCGTGGTCATACCATAGTTCCTTCTCCTACATTTCTTCATCCTGTCGGGATTCTGAGTAAGCACACATATGCATTTGACATGTTCTTCAAGCCACTGGGGCCAGGATTTGAACCACAGTTGGCCATGTGAGATCCACCTTCCTTAACCACTAGATTACAGAGCTGGCTCTGCCTTGCCCTCATACCACTGAACAGAACAAGGTCAGAGGGAGGCTGGATGCTGAACTGGACCAAAAGGATGTCAATCCCTAAAAACTCAGTGTTTTGGGTCTGGGTGCTGAGCTAACAAGGAAGAGTCACAACTGTCTTTGTTCTGCTCTCTCTGCAGTTTACCATTATCAAATGAAAATTCACATCTTCAGTTATAAGAATACAGGAGAAATAGAGCCCACCTTTTATGTCACCCTTTATGGCACTAATGCAGATTCCCAGATCCTGCCTTTGGAAATGTAAGTTCCGTCTTTTCTTTGCTGGGTGGAGGACTGCTGTGACCTGCATGGCTGAATGGATTTTCTAAGCAGGGGGCTGTGGATGAGAGAATAAATGTAAAATAAACACACAAAGACATACAAGTAAAGAAAAGTGGGGATCGAGTGATTTTGAATTTTCTGATGGAGATAGCTGTGGCCTCAAACTGGTCCCAGGTTCTTTTAAAGGGCAGAAAATAGGGGAAGGGGAAGTGAAATGCAAAGTCAGTTGTTTTCAGATATTAACCAACTGTAGATGCAAAGACACCTGGCACCATGTAGTTCTATGTGAGTTTTTTTTTTTTTTCCTAATCTTTTTGGGCAAATTCTGATTAAACACATGTGACTTTTTTTAGATGGATACTGCTCTGCAGTTTCGGTAACAACAGGCAGCTTGCATATTCATGTGTTAATGGCATTCATTGCCCTGCAAATCACTGCTCATGGAACCATATTTCTGCATGTGTCTAAAGGTCACCATGTTTGCTCAGATTGGCTGCTTTCCACAGAGGACAGAAAACAAGTTGGCTTGAGAATAAGAAAATGCAAGGCAGGATATGAATAAGTTTGGGAGCATGTAGTCTGGTTGTTTGGGGAAGGATCTGTGTTCTAGTTGGCCTCTGCAGTTCTCCTATTTTGACTTCCACTAAGTCCTCAACTCAGAACATTTCTGGGAGGGGATGGAATCAAAACTCTTAAGATGAATCAGTGGCAGAAGAAGCTACTGAATTGGCTAGGGCAGAAACTGCTGTTTCATTTCAGGCCTGACACCTGAGGCTTTAAGAAATCTGGAACTTCATAAATGTCATCCCTGGACCTTTCCTAATGATCTGGCTGTGGGGAGGTGCACACAGAAATCGGTATATAGTCAGGCACACTTAGAGTGGGGCTACATCTGAGAAATGCATTGTTAGGTGATTTTGTCATTTTGTGAACATCATAGAGTATACTCACACACACCTAGATGATATCGCCTACTTCACACTTGGGCTATATGTATAATCTATTGCTCCTAGCTACAAACTTGTACTGAGTATGGTAGGCAATTATATCATAATGATAAGTATTTGTGTATCTAAACATATCTAGACACAAGAAAGGGACAGTAAAATCAATAGAAATGATAAAAAATGGTACATGGTTACTTTCCATGAATGGAACTTGCAGGACCAGAACTTGTTCTGGGTGAGTCAGTAAGTAAATGGTGATTGAATGTGAAGGCCTGAAACATTACTGTATACTATTGTAGACTTCATAAAGTCTGTACACCTAGGCTTCACTAAATATAAAACAAATTTTCTTTTTCACATAATAAGTTAACCTTAGCTTATTGTAAGTTTTTAATCTTTATTTTTAAAAACTTTTTGGCTTTTTTGTAATAGCACTTAGCTTAAAACTCTGTACAACTGTACAAAAATATTTTCTTTCTTTATATCTTTATTCTGTAAGATACTTTTCTATTCTTAAATTTTTGACTTTTAAAATATTTTGTTAAACACAAAGACATAAACACTCATGTTAGCCTTCACTGGGTCAGGATCATCACTATCACTGTCTTTTACTTTCACATCTTGTCCCCATGACAGGACCATAATAAACCCACAGCATGAGACCAAATCAAGTGCAAGAGAAAATATTATAACCAAGAGATCCAGTCACCACAAAATGTATGAGTTGCTGCAGTCAACTTTTTTTAATAAGTAGAAGGAAAGCACTCCAAAATAGCAATGAAAGTATAGTATTATAACTACAGAAACCAGTAACATAGTTGTCTATTATCATTATCAAGGATTATGTGCTCTACACACTTGTATGTGTTTACTTCTCTGCAGCTCCCAGTGCAGTAGGTTTGTTTACACCAGCATCAGTGCAAAACCCTGAGTAATGTGTTGTACTATGTGATTATGATGGCTATGCCAGAAGGCGATAGGAAATTTTCAGCTCCACTATAATCTTAGAAGACCACCATCATGTATGTGGTCCGTCGTTGACTGCAATGTTGTTATATGGCACATGATTATAGATTTGTCGAGTATCTATCTGGGACAAAGTGCCATGTCAAGTAATGTTGGGGTTGTGAAGAAACATTACCAAAGTTAACTCACTTCTCAGGGCTCTAGGTATAGCTGATACACACGCGCACACACACACGTAAGATAAGGGGGGGATGTGGGTCACACCAAGTGCCAAATGAGAAGGACAGGCAAGAAAGGGTTTGTGGGCTGAGAGGAACGGCACAGAGGGAAACAGAGGTCTGTGGGCTGAGAGAAACAGCACACTGTTGAGTGGGAGTATGACTTTTTTGCGTTTTCTCATTTCTGCTCTTTTTTTTTTCTTTTTTTTTTGGGGGGGGGAGGGTTTTGCTACAGGGCGCGTGCACTCGCCAGAAAGATAGAGAGAGACAAAGAGATAGAAAGCGAGAAATCACCCCCCCAGGGGGGATGACCACACCGCAATCCCTTCTCCTCCATGCTCCTCTCGGGATCTTGGGCCCGCACACACACATGCCCGATGTGAGTTTAAGCCACCAGGTCCGGGACACGAACGGCGGTCGACTATGTGGGAGTCCAGGGCCATAGCCATTACACTCACTGCTGGTCCCTCATTTCTGCTCTTTTTTTTTTCTTTTTTTTTTGGGGGGGGGAGGGTTTTGCTACAGGGCGCGTGCACTCGCCAGAAAGATAGAGAGAGACAAAGAGATAGAAAGCGAGAAATCACCCCCCCAGGGGGGATGACCACACCGCAATCCCTTCTCCTCCATGCTCCTCTCGGGATCTTGGGCCCGCACACACACATGCCCGATGTGAGTTTAAGCCACCAGGTCCGGGACACGAACGGCGGTCGACTATGTGGGAGTCCAGGGCCATAGCCATTACACTAACTGCTGGTCCCTCATTTCTGCTCTTTCTTGGCCTGTCTCCCCAATCTGGAAAGCAGCACGAATGGAGAGATGATCAAGAACATTCGCATAGGATGTCAGGGTGCTATGGGCCAAGTTATGTCTCAGTCAGGTGGAGGACACTGAGTCCTGCTGGCAGAGTGATTGTGCCTTCTTTCCCCTGTGGGGTAGGGAGGGTGCTGCCCGTGAGTTACTCTGTACAATGTGGCAGAGTAGTGAAGTCAGCCTTTCTCCCCTCGTAGAGTGGAACGGATTGGGCTGAACACCACCAACACCTTCCTGGTCTACACTGAGGAAGACTTGGGAGACCTCTTGAAGATCAAACTCACCTGGGAGGGGATATCTCAGTCTTGGTACAACCTGTGGAAGGAGTTTCGCAGCTACTTGTCTCAACCTCACAGCCCCAAGCGGGAACTGAATATCAGGCGCATCCGGGTCAAGTCTGGGGAAACCCAGAGGAAGTAAGTGCCTCCTGCCTCTCCCCTGCTGTCTAAATGGCAAACGGAAGACAGGCCTCGTCATGTCCTTTCTTTTGAAGGCAGGCCTGGCCATGAACTTTCCTTTTCTATGCTGAGTGTGCACCTTCAGTCCTTCCACAGTCAGAGCATGCAGGCAAAACCTCCAACACCTTTGCAAGGAAAAGTGACTTTCGAAAAAGGCTTCTGCCGCTATTGTGTAGGTTATGCCCTGACTGTGGGGACCGTTGGCTGAGGTGGGTGGACAAGGGGGGGCTGAAATCTGTTTGCTAAGCCCTGGGTTTGCCTGGAGGAAGGGGGCTTCTGTCCAGGACTGTTAATGCAGCCTTGCTGATCTGCTTACTGTGGGATCCCTGAAATCTAAAGGCTTTGCTTGTTTCTGTCAAGAGAGAGCCAGAGCATCACATCCAGGGAGGACATCATTTGACTCCAGAGGCTTGGAGTCAAGGACGTGGGGCTCGGGTCCTAACTTCAAGTAACAGAGACTCCTCTGTGCTATGCCAGCTGGCAGTGTCCTCAGTTGTTTTCTATAACCCCAAGCCTAGCATGAAAGATCCAGACCTTGGTATACCATCTCCTACTGCCGTGCCTTGACTGTGAGTGGGCTGCCTTCTAAACAGATGCCAGGGAGGGCTCAACGCCAGGGAAGCCTGGAGGTCTGTTGTCAAGAGAAGAGGGTTTCTTTAACCAAGGCCTTCAGCCCACCCCCTGAAGTCCCTTGAGATGTGAGGAAGCAGCTCCTCCCTCTTAGTCCCTCCTTGGGCATTTTCTCCATTATAATTCTTTGCATATCTTGTTTACTTCCATCATTAATCACAGCTTGGCAGGGGAAAGAAGTAGATGGGGGGGGGTCCCTTGGCTGACTGTATTCTAGAAACCTGTGGACTGGGGTGCCAGCCTGTGATCTGGATAATTGTGTATCTTTTTCATTTCTCTGGGCTCTTGTAAGTGCGCCCTATGCCTGTGAGTGTAGTAGCAGAAATGATCATTTTTATTTCAAATAAAATAAATACCTCTTGAACGACCACCAAGATTCAACAAATGTAAACAGTTTTCTATATTGGTTTCAAATACAAGATTAAAAAAATTATAAATTGAAGTCCCCCCAAAATAAATAAAACTGAAGCCCCTTTCTGTTTTTCCCCAGTCCTCCCCTTTTACCATACTAAATAATATATATAACTAATAGTTCAACATTAACTAAGATTAGTGTGCTTCCTTCCTTCACATAGTTTTTAATTATTTAATTATTTATTTGTTTGAGAGATTTATGCTATAGGGTGTGTGTACTTGTGAGAGAAACAGAGAGAGACCGAGAGAGAGAGAGAGAGAGAGAGAAAGAAATCACACCCTAGGGAGGATGGCCATGCTGTAATACCTTCTCCTCTACTCTCTTCTGGAAATTTTGGGCATGCATGCACATGCGCTTAGCATTAGTTTCAAGGCTTCAGGTCCGAGACTAGAACCACAGTCAGCCATGTGGGAGTCTAGTGCCTTAACCACTACACCACCTGCTGGCCCCCACATAGTTTTTAAAAGTGTATTTTTTTTTTCTTTTCAGAGAGAGAGAGAGAGAGAGAGAGACTCACCCCTGAAACTTCATTTTGCAATCTACCCCGAGTCTCAACCAGCCTACATCATGGCCACACACGTACAGGGAGGCCTCAGGACACAAACCTTGGACTTTCTCATGTTGGTCTAGCATCGCAGGGTGTTGTGCACCACTGACCCCCTTCACGCTTTATACTTCTGTTTGTATTCATGAACAATGCACAGAATTGTTTTATGTGCTTCTAAATTTTACATGAATAGTCAGACATATTATTTTACAAGTTGCTTCTTTTTCATTCAGACATTTTGAAGTTTATTCAATATATGCAGATCTAGGCCATTCTTATCTAACTTGTGTATGTAAATTGTCATTATACAGACAGTAGTTTGACACTGTTCTATGAGATATTTAAGGCTTTAATGTAGTTACAAATAGTTCTGGATGAACATCCTCATTTTCCTTGTGGGACGGCTTCTCTGCAGCAAATGTACTAAAAAATGAATCGCTAGGTTATAATATATGTATTCTCCAGCCTAACTAGATATTATTAAATCCTCCTCCAAAGTGCTTGGACTAATTTCCAATCTTAGCCATGGAACAAGAATTTCCCTTTCCTCTCCTTAGTGACATTTGGTGGGTCATTCTTGCCACTCTGTTAAGTATGCCTGGATCTCCTACTTTGCATTTTCTGATATGAGTGAGGTAGGTCATCTTTTTATATGTTTATAATGTTATAGGTCCCAGGATCAGCAGATGACATAATGTTACGTTGCTGAATTCCCATGTATTCCACAATAGTTCAAGTCCCGAACACGGCGGCTTGAAACCCACGCCAAATGTGTGTGCATGTGTGACTAAATCCCCAAGAGGAGAATGGAGGAGAAGGGATTGCAGCATCAACCCCCCTGGGGGGCGATTTCTCACTTTATGTCTCTCTGTCTCTCTGGCGAGTGCGCACACCTTATAGTAAAAATCTCTCTCAAAAAAGAAGAAAAAATGTTATAGGTCCTAAGGTTCTTAGAGTTTCCTGGGAGAGGTTTTACCCTGATCTGAAGGTGGCTTTCATCTTGCCTCAGCTTCAGGGCCTACACATTGATCAGTTGTGTGGTCATGCTAATCACATGCCAACTCTCTCCTTGCCTTGATTCCAGAAACCACAGTCTGGGTTCTCCTTAGAATTTTGGCTACATCAATGGTTTCTTTTCTTCCTAGATTGACATTTTGTGCAGAAGACCCTGAGAACACCAGCATATCCCCTGGCCAAGAGCTCTGGTTTTATAAGTGCCAAGATGGCTGGAGAATGAAAAATGAAACCAGGTAACTGGGACTTTCTCATGAGTTCTCTCAGCACACATTGACCAATCACCTAGCATGTGCTAACCATGGGTCCAGGCAAGTGGGATAGCGTATGATCAAAAGAAAAAGGGATCCCTTCCTGTATGAAGTTGATCTCCTGGAAGGAGAGAGACACATGAATGAGTGAAACATAGAGGATGTTGGAGGGTGTTAATGTCCCTTCTCCCCCTTGCCCTGCCTTGCCCTGTTGATGCATATTGCACTTGTCTCTACCTGAATGAGGTGTTTTTGTTAACCCTGGGGTCAATGCCCATGCCCTCCCATCTTAGACTGATATCTTTTCTGTAGTTACCAGGGGTGTGGGAAAGTCCAGGGTTCCTGGTTTCTATCTGGGAAACCGGAAGTGGAGAGTGGGGTGGGAAGTAAAGAAAAAGCAAGCACCAAGTAAATTTCCCTTTTTTAGGTTTTCTGGAACCCAGGTAAAGTGAGTATCAGTGGGGTTAATTTTTAATTTTTTTTCTCCAAAGTTCATCAACTTACCTTTTTCTATGAGACAAGAGAGAGAGAAAGAGAGAGAGAGAGAGAGAGACATACTCACACATGTCTCCAATTTGGTCCTTGCTCCATGATCTAGCCTCAGCTGACCAGGATCATGGGCACATGTGCATGCCTGGTTGCAAACCCAATACTGCTGCTATTCTCTGTGCCCACCTTGCACCCAGTGACTTACAAAATCATTCAGTTTTATCATCAACCCCCTGGTGATAGCAGGTGTTATTATCCCTACATACAGATGAGAAAACTGAGGCTCAGGGAGATTAAGTCACTCTGCAAGGCTCCCCAGCTAGTGATGGCAGAGCGAGGGTTTGAAGCAGGTTGGTTTACTCCAAAGTGCTGTTTCTTAAGCATGGAGGTTCTATCTGGTGGGATGAATCACCTCATCTTAGTTTGGGTATCAATTACCAAGCAGCTGTGCCCATGATCTGGGGTCCCCTGTGATTAGCTGTCTACGATTCCTGAGGGCTGGTTGCATCCATCAACACCACCATGGCAGGCGCAGTGATCACAGGACTCTCAGGGTCTAACAACTGCCCAGCTAATTAAGGGTCTCAGTCTAGTGTAGGCACATATGATTTTCTGCTAGCATTATCATTTTATCCTTTATATTTGGATTTAAATGTATACCTTTCAAAGTGTTTCCATATATATTAACTTCATTGGTGTGTATTGGACACCCCAGGGAAGATCACAATTCTTATAATAAGGGATAGGACATTTGTTTATGCTTCTTACCTGCTCCATAACTTTGTAACAGTTGAGAACTAGCTGTATGCTCACCCCACCCTACTTTGAGAAAACAAGTCACCCCTTCCCTTCCTAAAGGACAGCAATGACAGAGGACCAAGTAATAAATGAACATGGGGAAGTCGTGGCATCTCCATATGTACATGAGACCTTCAGTATTCTCTCTCCTGATGTGGGTACTGTTCACCAGCTCACGGAAAAGGAGACTGAGTTTCAGAAAGGTTCAATGCCATCTTCTTGTAGCATCCAGGTCTCTTGACTCTCCGTCTTGCCTGCTCCTGCCATGCTGCAGTCTCTTGTATTTGTAGATGGAGGCAGAGAGAATGCCTTTGGAGTTCTCCCCACACTTGTGCATGTGTTTGGGTGTGTGTGATTGTGTCGTGGGGTGGGTATTGTGCTACATATGTGAAAGCGAGGACTGTGATGTGCACCTAGGGACTCCAAGAGGGCTCCAGCTCAGAGAGAATTTTGGGTGAAAGGGAAAAGAAGTGTTCAGATTCTGTGCATTTGTTCTGAAGAGGGAGTGAGGAAGAGTCCAGCAGGAGAGTCAGAAAATTTGGTCTTAAGGTGGACAGAGGCACCCTCAAGGTTTGTATGTTTGGTGGTAAGTGAGCTAACACCAGCGCTCTCACATGCTTCCTTCCAGCCCTGCTGCAGAGCTCCCCTGAAGGTGTCCTTGTCCGCCAGGACCCTCTCCTGCCATCCAGGCACATGGAGGAAAGTTACTGCTGAGGACTCACCAATGGCCTCTCTTGACCTTAGCCCATGAGCACCGGGAAGAATTTGCTTGCTGGGCCCAGACCTTGTCTCCTGTGATACTGGGACTTCTCCCCAAGAGGATCATGCACTGCCATAGCTCCTTCTTGCTGCTCTAGAATAACTCACTCCACACCTCTGTTGATGCGTCTGAGACCACCAACTCTGTGTTCGTGCTGATGCCTAGGCCTCTCATGCACCAGGTTGGTTTGTTGGTTGCTGAGTGAGCTAGCACTTTGCTTGACAAGGAAAGCTGGCTCTGAGGTGGCTCTGTGCAGGCTATTGTTGGCTTGACCTGAGCCTAGCGAGAATTCTTTCCACTGGAGGCTGACTCATGTCAGGTTGGCCTTTTACCCTGTTCACCCAGGGAGGAGATAGCAGATCCAGGCTGGAACAGAGACCCTGACTGCTGGAGTTCTCATGAGCTGCACTGAGCAATACTGGTTACATTCTTGACATTCTGTCCTGCTCCCCAACTCACTCAGAAGCACATGTCATTGGGTTTCTTATCTTTCCATTGTTCCTTTTTTTGATTGAACAGGTGTTTCATTGGGCATTTAAGATTAATGAACACATGGCAGTAGGCAGATTACTAAACCTCTCCATTTGGAACTTAATGGGGTTGAGATTCCTAGGGTCCCTTCCAGTTTAGATGGTCCATAGGCAAACATGGGAAAGACATGAAGGATTTGGGAGGGGTACAGGATGTGATTCCAGGAACCCTGAGGCTTTAAGTGGTTTCTACATATTTTCCCCCAGCTAACATGCCTTTTCCTACAAGAGTCACATGTTTGATCACTCACGGAATAGTGAGAAAAGCATCATACTTGCCGAGGCTTGAATTGTGGGCAGTTATGTGATTATTTGGGAGCAAAAGTTCTTCTCTTTAGGAAGATAGAAAGCATTACATATGTTATACATATCTGTCTATACAGGAACCAGCTCCTGTCCAACTGAGCTGGCTTGAAGATTTAATGCGGTGCTTTTTCCTCCTTGAAATACCTTGCTTCCATATCAGTACCTTTTCTGTGTTGAACTTTTGGGAAAAGCCTTTAATTTTTAATCTTGATTTCAATGAACAGACATAATATCTGAGAAACCATTTTGCACTTTTTAAGACTTGCATTTGCATCACTTAATTGGAGTGAGGTGAGTAGGGCAGCTATTATTATCCCAATTACAAAACTGAGGCTTAGTGAGGGTCAGCCATGTGCCTTAAACTATATACCAAGTGGAGGGTGGAGCCAGGCCGAGGACCCAGATTTCCTGGAGACAAAATCCATGGTACACTCATCTCTGGCATGACATAATGTTTATAGCCATTTCCCATCAATATGCCCCTGATATAGCAAAAGGAATTTTTTTCAATGTCATACATAACATCACAAACCCTGCTATTCGTATATAATCAGGAGAACACCTGTGCAAAGGGGTGGACTTGTTATGGGTTAGCTTTGGGAGATAATTTCAAATGGCAAGGGTAGGAGAGAGAGTGATTTTTTTTTTTTTTTTGTGCTTAGGTTTCTAAAGGACATTGTTTTAACCTATATTGTGCCAAAGTTGTATCACTGTTTAATACCAAACTTCTGAAGACATAATCAGTCTAGTGTTAATTCAAAGTAGGTTCTCAATCCGATTGTGTGCTTCTGTTGCTTCTGTGATTGCTTTCTAGCCAAAGTGAAGCTTTTATTACTGGCTGTACATCCCGGTTACTTCTGACTACTGGCTTTGTAATGGAAGCTTTGGGAATGGAATCCTCAGTGGGTCATGTATTTATACATTTGTCTTGAAGCCTTATTTGTATATAATGATACCTTTTTTTTTTTAAAAAAATGCTTAGAACACTATTTATTTCTTAAGTGTATATAATGTAAAAAACAAATATATGGTTAGTTTTTACTTTAACCAATTTCAAGATTTAAAATTTTTAATGGTAAAATAATTAATAAACTACAAAATTCTTAATGGTCTGGCAACTCAGTTCCTAAAACTTCAAGAAATTGGGCTGGCTCCCTAACGCAGCAGTTGAGCTTTGTGCTTAGGGAGCTGGATCCCACATGGCTGATCACAGATCAAATTCTGTTTCTGGTGGCCTGAAAAGCACAATGGCAATGTGTACATGAGTGTCCCATATCCTGAAGAATGGGTAAATGGAGGAAGAAAGATCATGGCATGGTCATGCCCCATCAGGGGATGTTTTCTCTCCCTCTCTCTGGTAAGTGCACATGTGCTCTGGCAATTTTAAAAAAAAAATGAGTGTGAGAATTATTGCTGCCAAGCCTAGGGTTTGCCAAAAAGTTAATTTAATATAAAATATAAACTCTATTTGATCTTCATTATTGGAAGGAAGTAGATAACAATTTACTCGAAGAGAAGTGCTATAAATTATCTCAATAGAAAAACGTTTTACAAAAATTCGGAGAACTTCTGTAACTTGATAAAGCCTCTTTACCAAGACACTTACAGGAGATAGATACTTAATGAAGAGTCTGAGCTCATTTTCTTTAGATTAATAAGAAGACAAAGATTCTTGCTATCATTCTTACTATTAAACACTGTGCTGTATATCCTGGCCAATGCAATAAAAAGGAAAAGGAATAAGTGGCAAATGATAGAAAAAAAATGAAGTTGTTGGGAAAGTCATGACCTTTTTTTTTCTGTTTTTTCCATGCAAAAATGCACCATGACTTTCCTGACAACCCAATAATAAAACTCTTATTGGTGGCAGACTATAGTAGAAAACCTAATTAATTAAATGAGCTAATGATAAGAAATAATGAGAGAATGTGGCAAGGTTATCAGATATAAGACCAAAAATAAAAATCGAGCGTTTTTTTTTTTTTTTATTAGGTATTACTATCTAGAAAATTCAAAAGAAAACATATTGACATTTATAATAGTAGTGCAAACTCTAAGGAATTCCAGAGTTAATTGAACACATATTGTGCAAAATGTTTATGAAGAAATTTTAGAAAATATTCTTAGTAGACCTGAATCAATAAACCTTTAATAGGTGGAAAGGCTTAAGAATAAACAGACATCAAATTAGACCAGTCAATGCAATTCCAATCCAAGTTCCACCTGCATTTTTTTAAAAAGAATTATTTATTTATTTATTTCCATTTGTTATTGTTATTTTTTTCTTTATTTGAGAGAGAGAGAGAGAGAGAGAGAGAGAAAGGGAAAGGGAAAGTGAGAAAGCAAGTCACCAGGTCCAGGACTTGAACCATGGTTGGCCATGTGGGAATTCAGTGCCCTTATCCACCACACCACCTGCTGGCCCCCCACGTGCATTTTTTTAAGAACTAAAAATTTTATTCTAAAATTCAAATGGAAGGGCTGGCCCCATAGCACAGTGGTAAGCACTGTGCGGAGGGAGCCAACTGGCCAACTGTGGTTCAAATCCTGACCCTTGCAGTAGCAAGCCAGGCATGCATGTACATGTGCCAAAGATTCTGAAGGGATGGAGAAATGGAGGAAAAGAGTTTGCGGTGGGCTGCACTGAGGAGTGCTTTCTCCACATGCTCTCTGGCATAAAAAATAAAAAGTACCCTGATGATAAAAGCAGTCTTCTATCAGCACACATCAAATGGGTTAATCGAATGTAAGGGAGAGATGCGAGCAGACCTATGCATTTACGAGAACTTGCTTTATGATAGAGGTGGCACCAAAAAGCAAGGCAGGAAATCGTGTTTAATAGATGGGGTGGGGAAAACAGGCTTCATATATGGAGAAAGGCGATATTGGGGCCCTATTGAACACCACAGGCAAAGGCAGTCTGTAGGTGGATTTGAAGGTGGGAAGTGAAAGATAAAACTATAAAGATAATGGAATAAAATATAAGGAGAATATCTTTGAAATCTTAGAGCAGGAAAGGTTTGTTAGATAAGACAAATCACAGTGTTAACTGTAAGATTGAAAATGGAATGTTTTGATTATGTCAGTATTAGGGATTTCTTTGCAACAATAATTGTGACATTAATATCAAATAATCAGTATTTATGGAGCATTGACTATGTGCCAGGCACTTTTAAAAAGAGGGTTATATGTATTACTTCATATATTTTTAACATTTTATCCAATTAAAATGCATATATTAAAAATACTACTACATGAAAGGGCATACTCAGTACACCCCAGACATTTTCATGGGAAGGGCACATTCTAAACTTCCCAGATGCCGCAGGCATTTTCTTTTTTAGGGATCAACCTTGGATATTTGTCTCTTATCTTGGGCTCTGTTGAAGGGAAGGCAGAATCTCCAGTCGGCCCTGTGGGAGCCAATACGCTCTAGGGGGAATTCCTTGGGATCAGGGAAAGATTTCCTCTGAAAGGAGCGGGCAAAGGGGTCTGCTTGATTTTACTGCAGATGACTGACTCACCCAGAGATAACAATGAAACAACCCAGATGTTGTAAAAGACCACCTGGTATTCCGTCTCAGGACCACCTTAGTCACCTCACCCTAAATACTTTCCCTTTAACAGTCCCTTGCCCTTGGGAGTAGCAGATGGTATGGTGGTTATGGCTGTTAGATCCCCACACGACTGAGTATGGTTCAAGTCCTGGGCCCAGTGGCTTGAAAATCACAACAAATAAATAGATAAGTAAATAAATGAGTGTCTTTTAAAAAAGTGAACATTTAAAAAAAATTCCTTAGCACCTACTCTTCAGAGCTGATGCAACTCTGCTTTTTTCCTCCCTTGGAAAGTAAATAATAAGCCTTTTTTATCCACTCACTCTCCAAATCTGTTCATTCTTACACCCCACAACACAGATCACCCTAACACTATGTATTTTATAAAAATATGTATCAAAATATGTTATAGTGGGTTCCCAGGGTGGAAGGGAAAACAAAATGAAGTTGGGATTAAGTAGAAGGCGATAAATAAAAATGAAACCGGAGGGACTTTGGAGGCAGGAGAAAGTTAGAAAATGAAAGCAGGCAAGGGGGCTGGAGCACCTGCCCACATGGTTAGATAGAAAAACTGACCAGGGCAGGAAATTCCCTGCCCAAGGTAATGTAGGCAAGAGATAAGTGGGGGATGTTTAGCTGCTTAAGTCACACTTGACAACCAGTGAGATGAGAACAATCAGTAGCCCAGCAAATGATCAACCCACATGACCTAGATTAGAAAATAATAAACCTCGCAAAATGTAACTGCAGGGGCCCTTTGAGCTATTCTCTGCTCAGGCCCGCTCCTACCTCTCAGGAGTATAATCCTGGTTTTGTTTAATAAACTACCTTTTTCTTTCACGATTGGTGAAAGGAAATTCATTTCTTTGTCTGAAACACCAAGAACCTGGATATCATCACAGAAGCCATTCTGCAACACTTTCATGATGATACAATGCTACTGAGGTAGGAGACAGGGACCCTAAGAATATAGTTAGGAGATAGACCTGAAACAGAATAACTTTTAATGGAGACAACCTAAAACAAAGTTTTTTTTTTTTTTCCAAGCCCCACCACATTCCAGGAAGAAGATAAGATCATGGTTTTTACAACCCAAAGCTTTTAGACAAAGAATCTCCTGACCTTGTACGCACTCCAAATTAGGAGAACAATAACTGGACCCATCCAGCACATGGCCCCCACCATGAGGGAAACTGTATACTTGAGCCCCACCTAAAAACAAGCCTGGACAAAGCCCTTTTGACCCAGATACCACCCCTATCTCCCAACTCCTTTCCAGCAACCCATTTTCCGGGGCTGCTCCCTGCTTGAAAACTCTTTCCTTTCTTCCCTCTCCTAGTAAACTCTGTTTGCTATCCCCTCTCTGTGTCCACAGCTTTAATTTTTCATGAGCTGTAGACAAGAACCCATGTCTCGTTGCAGGTACTGGGCCTGTTCATCCCCACACCCGTGTCCCTGTGTCACTATGAACTGAGGAGAATGGATAATTCAGCTCTCCAAAGTTGTAATCCAAACGTAATAGAATTAAGTGAAATAATGAAAATAAAAACTAAATTCCATATGCAGCTCTTTTTACTTGTTCTCCATTGTCAATGACCTAGAATGATACTAAACTCAAGCGGGGCATTTCCTGATGAGAACCCTGATAACCTATTTCAATTTGATTACCAGAGAGAGACAGAAAGATGGAGATGGTGAGAGATAGAAAGCACTCCCCGTAGGGTATGGTCATGCCTCAACCCCTTCCCTTCCATTTCTCTACCCTGGGATTTGGGGCATGCATGCACATGTACCCCGCATGTTTTTCAAGCTGCCTTACGGCCAGGATTCAAACTGTAGTTGGCCGTGTGGACTCCAACTCCCTTAGCCAATGAGTCCCCTCCAGGTGTAGATAGAGAGGGAGGCAAACCACACAGTTTGGCCAACCCTAGTTTGTCTAAAAGAATGGACCCCTTTATTAAAATACTATAAATTAGCAAAATGCTACAAAATTAAACTTACAGGCAGTCTCCAGTTTGTCAACAAAGGTACATTTTAGGATAAATGTGAATGTTCAAGTTTTCTGCCATAAGAACAATGCTATAAACCGTAGTTATAGTCCTTGTGTTTGTGAGACCACAAACTTAAATGTTCCAGTGCATTTCCACCAGTTCTCGTATCAGAGCACCTTTTTACACAGAAGTTTGTATTTTACAGCTTGATCTTCTGCTAAAGTTATTTCTAAAGAAATAACTTTAGAGGGCCATGGCTCACTCTGAATAAATGTTTCCAGATACAACAGTTTTAAGCAATGTACACTTATTTACAAAGGCATTTGTATTGAAAAAAAAATGTGGACATTTAGGAGTGTCAAAATTCTACTTTAGATGGTGAGTGAATTCTGTGTGTGGTGGGCACCAAATACCCCTCG